ACAGTGATTGCTTGTGTATGAGTTACTGCCTAAATGTTTAGCAGAAAGAGACCCCTGTATCCCAGCTGGGAGTGATTGAATGTGTGTGTGTGTGTGTGTGTGCCTACTAGTGAGTGAGCTTGTTTGTGTGGCTGCTAGTGATTGAACTTGTGTGTGTGTGTGTTTGTCTGCTAGTGAGTGAACTTGTATGTGTGTGTTTGTCTGCTAGTGAGTGAACTTGTATGTGTGTGTGTGTCAGTGGGCTTGTCTGTTGGAAGCATGTGTGTGTGTGTGTCAGTGGGCTTGTCTGTTGGAAGCATGTGTGTGTAAGTGAGCGTTTCTGTAGTGAGCATGTGTGTGTGAGCTTTTTTGTAGTGAGTATGTGAGTGTTAGCTTGTCTGTAATGAACATGTGTGTCAGTATGCTTGTCTGTAGTGAGCATGTGGATGTCAGTGAGCGTGTGTGTGTGACCGTGATCTTGTCTGTAGTAAACCTGAGTTTGTCTGTACTAAATTTGTGTGTGTACCATTAAGCTTGTCTGTGTGTGTCAGTGAGATTGTCTGTCTGTCAGTGAGCCTATTTGTGTGCTTGTGTTTTTATGTTAATGAGCGTATGTATATCAATGAGATTGTCTGTGAGACTGTGAATCAAAGAGCTTGTGACAGTGAGATTGTCTGTCTGCATGTGGGAATGCTTACTGTACAGTTAAGTTAAATGTTAAATGTTTTACTCTAAAAGGACCAATATTTTGAAAATATATATATATATATATATATATATATATATATATATACACATACATATATATTACACACAATACACAGTACAATGACTTATGTGGCTGTTATAGATTTTTTTTGCCAGGGCTGCTTTGTACCCCCAGTCCAGCCCTGTCAAAGATCCAGACTAAACAGTGCAAACTAATACATTAATGAGCCACATGTTGACCACAAAACTTCACTTAAACACAATCAGGTGACCACTAAATAGTGTGTTTCGTGTGAATATGAATACAACTAGATACAATCCATGCATCATAGTGTCTAAGATACATTAGAAAAATATTAAAGAAAAAATGTGAAACATACGTGAATCTTATAATTCCACCCTTGGTGTAACTAAAAGTGACACTTGAATAATATATATACATGCAAAACAATTTACACAATATATTTGTACTAATTGCACACAGTAATAAGAGCACTGTGATACCATATATCCCAGATAAAAATACAAATGAAAAATAAAGAATAGAAATGAAAAATACAAATGAAAAACAGACTCATTCATAACAACATGTATAAAGGGAATGCTAGTGAGTAAACATATAACTGTATCACATTTAGATTATTTCTCAAATAAATGTAGGTATTTCTTGAAAGTACCCTTTTTCCTCACTTAGCAACCAAAAATTAAATATATCCAGCCCGTGTTAAATGATAAAGACTCACTAAAGAACTTATAAATCACAAAGAGATTGAAAAAAGAAAAAAAGAAGAGAAGGGCCAGCTCACCTAATACACCACAACCACTGTGTGGCTTGGAACTCAAATGTAAAAAAAACCAGCATGTCAAACTCTGAGTTGATGCCTTCACCCCTTAGGACCAGACCGTTTTTCAATTTTCTTACCGTTAAAGGCCCACTATAGTGCCAGGAAAACATACTCATTTTCCTGGCACTATAGTGCCCTGAGGGTGCCCCCACCCTCAGAGTCCCCCTCCCTCCCTTTTTCCAGCGCTGGGCGGAGAGCTCTCCTCCTTCGATCCTCCTCTTCTCCTCCCCGTCGGCTGAATGCGCACGCGCGGCAAGAGCTGCGCGCGCATTCAGCCGGTCACATAGGAAAGCATTCATAATGCTTTTCTATGGACGCTGGCGTGCTGTCACAGTGAGCTGAAAATCACAGTGAGAAGCACGCAAGCGCCTCTAGCGGCTGTCAATGACAGCAGCTAGAGGAAATAGGGGAAGGCTTAACCCATTCATAAACATAGCAGTTTCTCTGAAACTGCTATGTTTATGAAAAAATGGGTTAACCCTAGCTGGACCTGGCACCCAGACCAGTTCATTAAGCTGAAGTGGTCTGGGTGCCTAGAGTGGTCCTTTAAGTACCAGGGCTGTTTTAATATTTCTGTGGTGTTTGTGTTTAGCTGTTTTCCTCTTACTCATTTACTGTACCCATACATATTATATACTGGTTTTCTCGCCATTAAGTGGTCTTTCTAAAGATACCCTTATTTTCATCATATCATATAATTTACAATAAAATTTTTTTTGAATATGATGAAATTTTTTTTTATTTTTTTTTAAAACACACTTTTTCTAACTTTGACCCCCAAACCTGTTCCGCATCTACAACGGCCAAAAAACACCCATGCAAAATAGTTTCATATATTTTGTTTTTAGTTTAGAAATACCCAATGTTAACATGTTCTTAGCTTTTTTTTGCAAGTTATAGGGCTATAAATACAAGTAGGACATTGCGGTTTCAAAATATATATTTTAAAAATTTATCAATACTGTAGTGACATTGTAAAACTGTTATCTGTCAAATCTCTGAATCACACCTCACATGTACATATTTTTTTTAAAGTAGACAACCCAGGGTATTCAATATGGGGTATGTCCAGTCTTTTTTAGTAGCCACTTAGTCACAAACACTGGCAAAAAGTTAGCATTTATATTTGTTTTTGTGTTAGAGATGCAAAAAATAATTATGAACGCTAACTTTGGCCAGTGTTTGTGACTAAGTGGCTACTAAAAAAGACTGAACATACATTTGGGTTGTCTTCGTTTGCAAATGGTATGCCATCATGGGGGTAATTCTCATTCCTGGGCTACCATATGCTCTCAAAGGCAACATAACCAATCTGGCAAATTTCAATGTGAAAAAAGCTTTATATTTGTGAGTATATTTATGGGGATTAATTATTATTAATTAATTTTCATTAATTAAAAATAATATTTTCATAAATATGATTAAAATTAATAATCTTTATTAAACTACCAGGATTTGATATTTTATTGGCGCTATTCCGATTTATTATTTAAAGCGAAGAGTTACTCACTATTTTATTTCTTTAGACGTGGAGTACGCTGTTCGAATGCAATATTTCATACATTAATATCACAACTTTTCAGGGCGTGGCTAGCGGCCGACCGGGAAAGGCACATAGAGTAAGAGCTCCCAGACCTGACGGAGAGCTACAGACACCCGGTACAAACCCGCCCCTACTGACCCAAAAGAGCACCATCGAGCAGTAAGCTTCCACATGGCGCAATTAAAAATTACGGACCCGATCAGATCCGCAAAAAAAGACCGGCTCCGTTCCAGCCAAGATGGCGACGGAAGTATGGGCCTGCCCCTATCTCAGAGGCACAGAGGATCCCTCGGGCCGTTATACTGACAACCCGGTGAGTGAAAGACGACTCTACACTATGCTGCAAGAACTTAGGGCTACTTTACACGCAGACTTCCAGCAAATGACGGAAGAATTCAAACATGAACTGTCTGAACTGGGAGACAGAACGGACGGACTTAGAAGTTCATACGGAAGAAATATGTTCTGCTCACAATGACATGGAGGCTAAACTGCAAGCCCTTAGTGAGGAACAAACACAGTTAAAATGAAAAATGGCAGATATGGAGGATCGCTCTAGGCAAAACAATGTCAGATTCAGAGGCATCCCTGACAGCATCACGCATGAGGCACTGCCCAACTATATCAAAGGCCTGTGCCAGGCTGTGCTGCCGGCAATAGCCACTGCAGAATGGCTCATGGACAGAGCGCACCATCTACGTAGGCCACAGTGCTTCACAGCGCATACCCCGTGCGATGTGGTGGTCAGATTCCACTATTACACAGCAAAACTTGCAACACTACCAGAACCGTTCCAAGGTGTGCAACTGTTCGCAAATCTATCTGCCCTCACAATGAGCCGACGGAGAGAATTTATTTCAGTCATGAAGACCCTCCGCAACCATGGTATACCGTACCGCTGGGGTTACCCCACTAAGATTATTGTTTGGAGGAACAACAAGAACCACGTTATCGAGGAGTCGGAGGATGGTTTACGCCTTCTGAGAGAATGGGGACTATTCCAATCACCTGACCAGCCAGATCGCAAGATCCGGGACAGCAGAGAAGGCTTACAACTGAATGGCACATGGCGGGATCGCCAAGAAGGAAGAATTGAACTCTCCTTCCACAACCCTCTGTCCCACTAAAAAACTGACCAGAGCCTAAACGAAAGGGGAATGGATGATGAAGTCGACAGTAACAATGTGTAATGTATATGGCATCAACCCTTCACCTACACTAGGGCACTTAGACCTTTCCCACTTAGTTAAATAACAATTGGGATGGAGGGCACAAGAGGGCCAGAAAAAAAAAAAAGAAAAAAAGAAACACAACTGTATAATTATGCGGGTGGGTTGTTCTCACACTAGTTTAGCGTAATTAAGGCTGTCTGTAAAATGCAAGCCACGTATTATCAAAGATGGTTATAGGGTCCCGGTAAGAGGCCGAACCACGTAGATTACTCCTAATCCCCCAGTTGAGTCTGCTTCCCAAGCATTAGGCTTAAACTTACCCATGGGGACACCCAACACTATGACTCTTTTCTCCCTGAATGTGAAAGTCCTTAATAGCCCACATAAACGGAGGGTGGCAGCCCAAGACATCCGAACTTCCTGGGCGGCTATAGCTTGTCTGCAAGAGATGCACTTCTGCAGCCGCAATCCCCCAAGATTTTCAGTCCGACACTACTCCCAAGCATACCATGCGTACTCCGCGACAATATCAAAAGGGGTTTCCATATATTTTCATGATGACTGGACGTTCACCCCAAGTCAGCAACATGCGGGTCGGGATGGCCGGCTACTTATTTTAGTAGGCACATTAAACAGTATAATGATAACAATTGCTTCCCTATACGTCCCCAACGAGGACCAAACATACTTTTTAACAAAAGCGCTGAGGAAGGTAGCAAAATACAAACAGGGACATGTCATTCTATGTGGGAACTTCAATTGCCCCCCAGATCCCCACCTAGACATTCCACGCACACAGAACAAAGGGACAAAAAGGGCATCACTAGTGCTGGGGCGACACTTAACTCGCTTACTATTTGAACTATTATACAACTCATGGTGCTGTCTTTACCCAGGAACCAAAGATTACACGTATTACTCCCCAGTGCACATGACACATTCTAGGATTGACCTATGCATCACAGACAAAGCCACTCTATCGCACGTTACGAATGTCGCGATTGGCCCCATCACATGGTCCGACCATGCGCCGCTTACGGTAACCCTCCGGGTCCTGTATCCAGCCTGTGGCACGTGTCCTGGCGCCTCAATGAGGCCCTCTTAGATTGCCCCAACACCTACCCCAACACCTACTCCATGTCCTTACCCACCTCACAGACTTTTTCATGAATCATGCACTACACCCATTACAGTTCAATGGCTAGCACACAAGGCAGTTATGCAAGGCGTATGGATGCAGGCAGGGGCTACCACTAAAAAGCAACACAACAAAACCATATCTGAGCTCCTCACAAAACTCGCAGCATTAGAGTCCCAACACAAAACCACACCACACAACCTTGAAATTGCTACAACAGAAAAGCACATGCGATACCTTAAGCAAACCTATTACACTACAGGGAATAAGGCAGGAAAACCACTCGCTAGGAAATTAAAGCAGAAATATTTACATACGAAAATTCCTTACATAATCTCCAAGTCAGGTGACAAACTACACAACCCACACCACATTGTGGAGGAATTAGCCTCCTTCTACGCCTCCCTGTACCAGCTCAACAGGGACCCCCAAACACACCAACCATCAGACAAGGAAATTGCCAGCTTCCTGAATAACACTCACATCCCATCCATTACAAGGGAACAACAGACGTTGTTAGAGGCTCCATTCGCTTGCGAAGAAGTGGCTGACATGATTGCTACTATGCCTAAACACAAATCGCTTGGCCCGGATGGGTTGTCCAGCTACTTCTAACATAAATTCAGATCCATACTACTCCCGCACATCACCAAACTCTTCAATCACAATAAACATACTGGACAAATCCATAAAGAAATGCTGGAAGTTACATAGTTACATAGCTGAAAAGAGACTTGCGTCCATCAAGTTCAGCCTACCTCACATTTGTTTTTTGCTGTTGATCCAAAAGAAGGCAAAAAAAACCAGTTTGAAGCACAATTTTGCAACAAGCTAGGAAAAAAATTCCTTCTTGACCCCAGAATGGCAGTCAGATGTATCCTTGGATCAAGCAGTTATTACCCTACATTGAAAGATTATATCCTTGAATATTCTGTTCTTGCAAGTATGCATCTAGTAGCCGTTTGAACATCTGTATGGACTCTGATAAAACCACTTCCTCAGGCAGAGAATTCCACATCCTGATTGTTCTTACAGTAAAAAAACCTTTCCTTTGCCTTAGGCGAAATCTTCTTTCTTCCAGTCTAAACGCATGGCCTCGTGTCCTATGTAAAGTCCGGTTTGTGAATAGATTTCCACACAATGGTTTGTATTGGCCCCGAATATATTTGTATAATGTTATCATATCCCTCTCAGGCGACGTTTTTCTAAACTAAATAGGTTTAAATTTGTTAACCTTTCTTCATAGCCGATATGTTCCATTCCTTTTATTAGTTTTGTAGCCCGCCTCTGCACTTTTTCTAGTGCCATAATATCCTTCTTTAGAACAGGTGCCCAAAATTGCACAGCATATTCAATATGGGGTCTTACCAGTGATTTATAAAGAGGCAAAATTATATTCTTGTCCCGAGAATGAATGCCCTTTTTCATGCATGACAATACCTTACTGGCCTTGGCCACTGCTGATTGACATTGCACATTGTTGCATAGTTTGTTGTCTATAACAATTCCCAAGTCCTTTTCATGTGTTGTTATCCCTAATTCGCTTCCATTAAGGGTATACGTTGCTTGTGTATTCTTTACGCCGAAGTGCATAACTTTGCATTTTTCAACATTAAATTTCATCTGCCATTTGAGTGCCCAGTCCCCCAGTCTATCTAAATCCCTCTGCAGCAAAGTAATATCTTGCTCACATTGTATTGTTTTACAAAGTTTGGTGTCATCTGCAAACACTGAAACATGACTTTCAATGCAGTCTTCAAGATCATTTATAAACATGTTAAATAGAAGGGGTCCCAGAACAGACCCCTGAGGGACACCACTTGCCACCTCTGTCCAGCTTGAAAATTTACCATTAATGACAACTCTTTGTACTCTGTTTTTAAGCCAATGTTCTACCCAAGAACAAGCATTTTCATCTAGACCGATTTCCTTGAGTTTGAACACTAATCTATTGTGTGGAACTGTATCAAATGCCTTGGCAAAATCCAAATAGATCACATCCACGGCAACACCCTGATCTATACTTCTACTTACTTCTTCGTAGAACGCAATCAAGTTAGTTTGACATGACCTGTGCTTCATAAAACCATGCTGATTTTTGCTGATAACCATGTTCTTCTCAAGGAATTCTTGAATATTATCCCTTAATAACCTTTCAAATATTTTACCAGCCACAGAAGTTAAGCTCACAGGTCTATAATTTCCAGGCAAGGATTTTGAACCCTTTTTGAATATAGGAACCACATCTGCCTTCCTCCAATCCTCCGGAACACTTCCTGAAAGAAAAGAATCTTGAAAGATTAAAAACAGAGGTTCACTTATTTCTGCACTTAGTTCCTTAAGTACACGTGGATGGATACCGTCAGGCCCTGGAGCTTTGTTTATATTAACTTTCTTTAGTTGCTGCAGCACCTTGTCTTGAGTTAACCAATTACAATTATTCTGCAAGTTTTTAGTAGCAATCATTTGCACATCTATTGCCATGGGTTCTTCCTTAATATATACGGAGGAGAAATAGTTATTTAAAATTCCTGCCTTTTCCTGGTCTTCATTAACTAACACCCCCGTTTCAGTTTTTAGTGTACCTACACTTTCATTTTTTTATTTTTTTAGAATTTATGTACTTAAAAAATGCTTTGGGGTTGGTTTTGCTCTCTTCAGCTATCATTATTTCATTTTGAAGTTTAGCAAGTCTAATTGCCTTTTTGCACGCATTATTTGCATCCTTGTATCTTTTATAAGATGCATCTGATTTGTCCGATTTAAATGCTTTAAATGCCCTTTTCTTAGTTGTAATCTCTTGTTTTACTTCTCTACTAAGCCACATTGGTTTTAATTTGTTTCTTTTATATTTATTTCCCAACGGTACATACTGAGAAATGTACCTTTTTAATATTTGTTGGAAGATGATCCATTTATCCTCAGTGTTCTTTTCACTAAAGAGTTTATGCCAGTCAATATATTGTAAAGCTTCCCTTAACTTATTGAAATTGGCCTTTTTAAAATTATATGTTTTAGTATTCCCCATGTGCTTTTGTTTTTTTGAGTTTATTTCAAAGGACACTATATTGTGATCACTATTTCCCAAGTGCTCACCTACTTGAATGTTGGTCAAAAGATCAACGTTGTTTGTTAAAACCAGGTCCAGACAAGCATCCATTCTAGTTGGTGCTTGTACAAGTTGTGACATGAAGGTGTCATTTAACAAGTTTAAAAACCTAATTCCCTTTGCTGAGGCACTAGTCCCTCTGTCCCAATTTATGTCTGGGTAATTAAAATCTCCAATAATTAAAGTGTTACCCAGATTTGCAGCTTTCTCAATTGTTCCTCAACAATATTAACATTAGGTGGTTTATAACATATCCCAACCAATAGTTGGTTTCCCTTCTTTTCCCCCAAGCAGATATTTACCCATAAAGCTTCCACATTATCCTCCTCGCATTCCATTTGCTTAACATTTGGCTTTAAATCATGTTTGACATACAAACATACCCCACCACCCTTCTTGTTTTTCCTATCCTTCCTAAATAACATGTACCCATTTAAGTTAGCTGCCCAGTCATGTGTCTCATCCCACCATGTTTCAGTTATGCCTATTATATCATATTGTTTAGTGTATGCTAATGCCTCTAGTTCCCCCATTTTGTTATTTAGGCTCCTTGCATTAGTAAGCATACATTTAATATTATGCGTCACTTGTATATTTTGTGAATTTTCACCATTACACAGATTCTCTGTTCTGAGCTTGCCCCTCCCCCCGTTTCCACCCCCCCTTATACTGTGCTAAAGCCCACCTCCTTTCTGTCCTATCTCCATTTTGTAGATTGCTATGAACCTCCCCCCCTACTACTGGTTTAAAATCTCCTCCAACCTTCTAGCCATCCTATCCCCCAGCACTGCAGACCCTCTCCCATTTAGGTGCAATCCATCACCACTATAGAGGTTGTACCCAATCGCAAAGTCAGCCCAGTTCTCTAAAAACCCAAAACCCTCCTTCCTGCACCAAGACTTCAGCCACGCATTGACCTCTCTAATCTCCCACTGCGTTTCCACTGTAGCGCGTGGCACAGGAAGTGTTTATAGTCATGCTGCCCAAGCCAAACAAACACCCGACGATCTGTGCTAACCTAAGACCTATTTCCCTACTCAACGCAGACATCAAGCTGTATGCCAAACTGCTAATAAACAGGCTTGAACCACTCTTCCCCACCCTAATCTCAGAGGAACAGGCGGGATTCGTCCCGGGCAAACAAGTGACAACACTAAACACTTCATCAGCATCATAGAATGGGCCCACTCCACACATTAAGGGGGTGTTCTGCTAGCGCTGTGCGCTGAAAAAGCGTTTGAATTGGAATGGGCATCCCCGCAGCGTTCATAACCAGCATCCTGGCCCTATATCAAGAACCCTCAGCTAAAGTTTTCAGCACGGGCTTTCTATAGACTCCATTAGCCATCCGAAACGGCATGCGACAGGGATGCCCCCTTTCCCAGCTCATCTTTATTCTCTGCCTCGAGCCCTTGATACATCACATAAAGCAAACAATAGGCATTCAGGGCATATCTTCTCCAAAGGGCGAATAAAAGCTAGCACTGTTTGCCGACGATATTCTCCTGTACCTCACAAACCCAGCGAACTCCATCCCACAGCTGCACAATCTCCTCGCGACATACAGCGAAGTATCCTTCTATAAAAACAACACCGCAAAAACACAAGCTCTCCCTATTCTATTGCCGCACACTCTCACGACACAACTTGGGCGCACATATACATTCGACTGGAGGTAAAAGTCGCTCTCCTACTTAGGGATAAAACTCACTAAAACAATACGCACACTACAAAAAGAAAACTCACAACACAACTATCATCATGGGAAGACCTAGAGGTCTCCTGGATAGGCCGCATCAACTCAATTAAGATGATGATTCTCCCGCACATATTGTACCTGTTTAGAACCATCCCTATAGAACTGCCATCCCGCCTCATTAAAAGGCTCCAATCTGTTATAAACGCACATGTCTGCAAATGGAAACCCCCGCGAATAAAGAATAAAACCCTAGGCCTCCACTATAACCGAGGAGGACTAGGCCTCCCAGATGTCAGGTTCTATTACCAGCAGGGGTGTACCTAGAGCATTTGGCACCTGGGGCGGGTCCTGTGCTTGGCACCCCCTTGCCCCCCAAAGCCCCGCCCCCAGCGCCAGTTTGGCTCCGCCTCAGATTTTGCTTAGCTCCGCCCCACTTTTCCTCTGTGCGGCCAGTTTATCAGCTGTTTGCTTGTGTGAGCTGTACTGGCCGCACGGCACCCTAACTACCATGGGGCACTGTGCGGCCACAGCTCACACAGCCCCCTCCAGCCAGGGCCGGTGCAAGGATTTTTGCCACCCTAGGCAAATGTAAAGTTTGCCGCCCCCCCATGTGACATCACAATGCCCCACCCATATGATTTGCCATGTTATCTAATGCCAGTGCTGCAGTGCCGCCGTGTTTACATTAAAAGGCCTGCAGGGACAGGCTATAGACACCAGAACCACTACATTAAGCTGCAGTGGTTCTGGGGACTATAGTGTTTCTTTAATGTGAGGTAAATTAGAGATTAGTGCCACGAATAATATACTAGATTGCCTACTTACAACCAGATGAGGATGATGATGGGCTCTAGCTGCAGTCTGGCTCCACTGGTCTGGTGTAGAACAGGCTCTCTGGAGGTGGTTTGTAACTGTGGTCACAAAAATCAATGTTCTGGGAGAACGGGAAGCAGCTCCATTTTTTGGGGGTCCTTTACACAGCTCAAGGTCTGGGTCCCAGGGTCCACCTTCATGTTCCACCAATGAGTTTGTTCACAGGGGGTGGAGTGTGTAGGGGATGTCCTGATATGTGTGTAAGGAATGCATTGTGTGAATCTGTGTTTGTATGTGTAAGGGCTGCAAGGTGTGTTTCTGTGTATGTATGAGATGCATTGAGTGTGTGTAATGAATGCATTGTGTGTTTCTGTGTGTGTAACGGTTGCATTGCTTGTGTATGTGTGTCTGTGTGTGTGTAATGTAGTGTGTGTAATGCATTGTGTGTTTTTCTTTGTGCAAGGGGTGCATTGTGTGTGATGAATGTCAATCTCTCCCCCCCTCCAATTTCCTTCTCTCCCCCCTCCAATTTCCTTCTCTCTCCCCCCTCCCAATTTCTTTCTTTATTCCCCCTCTCCCAATCTTTCTTTATCCACCCCTCCAATTTCCTTCACACCTTCCCAATTTCCTTCTCCCCCCTTCCAATTTCTATCTTTATCCCTTCTCTCCAATTTCCTTCCCTCCTCCCAATCTCTCCTTATCCCCCCAATCTCTCCTTATCCCCGCCCCCAATCTCTCCATATCCCCCCTCCCAATCTCTCCTTATCCCCCCTCCCAATCTCTCCTTATCCCCCCCATCTCCTTATTCCACCCCAATCTCTCCTTATTCCACCCCCAATCTCTCCTTATTCCACCCCCCAATCTCTCCCTCCCATCCCCATCTCTCCTTGTTACCCAATCTCTCCTTATTCCACCCCCATCTCTCCTTATTGCACCCCCCAATCTCTCTTATTCCACCACCACCCACCACTCATCTCTCCTATTCCCACTTCTCCTCCACCACTCTCTCCTATTCCACCCCCCATCTCCTTATTCCACCCCATCTCTCCTTATTCCCCCCATCTCCTTTATTCCCACCCACCCATCTCTCCTTATTCCCCCCATCTCTCCTTATTCCCACCCCCCATCCCTCCTTATTCCCACCCCCCCACCTCAGTTGTAGCGTGGCCGAGCCCTGTATAGTCCGCGGGTACAGGGAGCTTTTGTTGGGATTTTTTTCTCTTTCTCTCTATCTTTCCCCTCTAAGCTCTTAGATAATAACTTATTAATTTCATACTCTCTCTCTCTTATTTTGTGCTCTCTAAATAATAAGATAAATAATAAGATAGTCGAATTGTGTTGAGTTTTTAAAATGTAATCTGCTTCCTTACAACCGCTAGGGCGGTTGTTCAGTGTTGGCGCACAACTAATACAAGGCAATGCACAACAAGGGGGAGGACTATGATCTCCCAGGTGAAGGGGATCAGGAGGGGTCTACGTTCTATGTCACGTGTGGTTGTCTTGTTAATCTGTGTTTAATGGTCATGTTTATATCTTGGTCCTCAGATGGAGCTACTGGGGGATCACAAAAACAGAGCGGGGAAGGCCTATGATAAAATTAAGGAAGGAGCAGTAAGTGGGGAAAAGTGCTAAATACAGTGCAGGCTAATCACCCCGAAATAGGGATCACTCCCAATCCCAATAAAATACAAGCAAATATGTATAGTTTAAAAAACATATACCACCGGGGGCGCCACAATCACAAACATGTGAATATATTTACCATGGTATGTTCATGGGTATGCATATAAGGAGATAAAAATAAAAGTATATATAGTGAAGTATTTAATAACAAATAGAATAAAATAATAAAAAATAAAAAAATAATAAAAAAATTGCACTCACAAATGTAGTTGCACAACGAGAACATATGTCCTAATTGTGCTAAGAAAGCCTGTCAGCCCTTAATTGGGCTAGAGACCCCTCTTGTAGCAGGATCCCGATTTTCAAAAGTTCCAATAGCCTCCAGTAATAATCTGCTTGAAGGTGGATGAGATCCAAAGGTACTAGGGACACTGGCCGACTTGTAGCTGCTCGACGCGTTTCGTCCGATCGACTTTTTCAAGAGCTGTGTGTTTCTGTTCTTCTTCCGGCTTTTTAAATGATCAGGTTCTGAAAGCCGCGCGAACCTGATTATTTAAAAAGCCGGAAGAAGAACAGAAACACACAGCTCTTGAAAAAGTGTCCCTAGTACCTTTGGATCTCATCCACCTTCAAGCAGATTATTACTGGAGGCTATTGGAACTTTTGAAAATCGGGATCCTGCTACAAGAGGGGACTCTAGCCCAATTAAGGGCTGACAGGCTTTCTTAGCACAATTAGGACATATGTTCTCGTTGTGCAACTACATTTGTGAGTGCAATTTTTTTATTATTTTTTTATTTTTTTTTATTTTTTTTTTTAATTATTTTATTCTATTTGTTATTAAATACTTCACTATATATACTTTTATTTTTATCTCCTTATATGCATACCCATGAACATACCATGGTAAATATATTCACATGTTTGTGATTGTGGCGCCCCCGGTGGTATATGTTTTTTAAACTATACATATTTGCTTCTATGATAAAATTAGCCTGCTTAAATGTTGGGGTTTAAATTCCCACATTCCCCTCAGAAGCGAAATATTTTTCTCGATTTCTTAAAAGACGAGGCAATCACGATTTGTGGAGTTCAAAAGACGCACTGGCGTTCGACAGATAAACAATGGCTCAAGCCTAAAGATTACCCATATTTTTTTGCCTCATCTATGTCTAATAAAAAGAAAAGAGGAGTAGCTACACTCATTTCAGCCAGGGTAGCCTTTAAATACACAGCTCAAAAAAATAAAGGGAACACAAAAATAACACATCCTAGATCTGAATGAATTAAATATTCTTCTGAAATACTTTGTTCTTTACATAGTTGAATGTGCTGACAATAAAATCACACACAAATTAAAATATGGAAATCAAATTTTTCAGCCCATGGAAGTCTGGATTTGGAGTCACACTCAAAATTAAAGTGGAAAAACACACTACAGGCTGATCCAACTTTGATGTAATGTCCTTAAAACAAGTCAAAATGAGGCTCAGTAGTGTGTGTGGCCTCCACATGCCTGTATGACCTCCCTACAATGCCTGTGCATGCTCCTGATGAGGTGGCGTATGGTCTCCTGAGGGATCTCCTCCCAGACCTGGACTAAAGCATCTGCCAACTCCTGGACAGTCTGTGGTGCAACGTGACATTGGTGGATGGAGTGAGACATGATGTCCCAGATGTGCTCAATTGGATTCAGGTCTGTGGAATGGGCGGGCCAGTCCATAGCATCAATGCCTTCGTCTTGCAGGAACTGCTGACACACTCCAGCCACATGAGGTCTAGCATTGTCTTGCATTAGGAGGAACCCATGGCCAACCGCACCAGCATATGGTCTCACAAGGATCTCATCTCGGTACCTAATGGCAGTCAGGCTACCTCTGGCAAGCACATGGAGGGCTGTGCCTCCCCCCAAAGAAATGCCACCCCACACCATTACTGACCCACTGCCAAACCGGTCATGCTGGAGGATGTTGCAGACAGCAGAACGTTCTCGACAGCATCTCCAGACTCTGTTACATTTGTCACATGTGCTCAGTGTGAAGAGCACAAGGCGCCAGTGGCGAATTTGTCAATCTTGGTGTTCTCTGGCAAATGCCAAACGTCCTGCACGGTGTTGGGCTGTAAGCACAACCCCCACCTGTGGACGTCGGGCCCTCATCCCATCCTCATGAACTCTTTTTCTGACCGTTTGAGCAGACACATGCACATTTGTGGCCTGCTGGAGGTCATTTTGCAGGGCTCTGGCAGTGCTCCTCCTGTTCTTCCTTGCACAAAGGCAGAGGTAGCGGTCCTGCTGCTGGGTTGTTGCCCTCCTACGGCCTCCTCCACGTCTCCTGATGTACTGGCCTGTCTCCTGGTAGCGCCTCCATGCACTGGACACTACTCTGACAGACACAGCAAACCTTCTTGCCACAACGCTCATTGATGTGCCATCCTGGATGAGCTGCACTACCTGAGCCACTTGTGTGGGTTGTAGACTCTGTCTCATGCTACCACTAGAATGAAAGCACTGCCAGCATTCAAAAGTGACCAAAACATCAGCTAGGAAGCATAGGAACTGAGAAGTGGTCTGTGGTCACCACCTGCAGAACCACTCCTGTATTGGGGGTGTCTTGCTAATTGCCTATAATTTCCACCTGTTGTCTATCCCATTTGCACAACAGCATGTGAAATTGATTGTCACTCAGTGTTGCTTCCTAAGTGGACACATTGTGTTGTTTAAGTGTTCCCTTTATTTTTTTGAGCAGTGTATATTTACCAGGAAGAAGATATTGAAGGGAGAACGCACATTTTAATATGTGAAATCAATAATCAAATTTATACGATTGTAAATATATATTCCCCAAATCAGTCACCTATAACATTTATTCATAAAATATTCAACAAGGTTGATCGAATTAGACAAGAGAGGATAATATACCTGGATTCAGATATGGATACGAAAAGTCTATTTAGAGATCAGAATAATCGGCACCTGAAAAATTCAACCAGGAGTTTAAATGATATTCTGAAAAAGAGAGGTCTCTTGGACCTGTAGCGAATATGGCATCCTATGGAAAAGGATTTCACTTGTTTTTCTTATGCACACCAAGTCTACTCAAGAATTGATCTCATTATTGCTGAACCAGAATTATCAAAAATATAAAAAAAAAAATCTTCATTATTAATATACCTTCGTCTGATCATAATGCAATTATTACTCTAATTAAGGATGATATGTTCAAAGATAGATCTAACTGGCGGTTAAATTAACATTTGTTAAAAAAATCCCAATTATCTAAACCAAATTAAAGTAGTAACAGACTTTTTTTTTTTTTTTAAAGAAAATTACAATAAAGAGGTATTAATCCCTGTAATCTGGTGTGTTTACAAGTGCGCGATTCAGCGTCGCTTAATCAAACTGGGATATCAAGAGAAAACGAATAGTTCTAAAAGTTTAGCTCAACTATATATTGAATTGGATAAAGTGGAACAAGAAAATAAAGCGGGACCTAGTTTAGAATTGAGTTATATATCGAAATCACTTAAAGAAAAAATGAATGATTTATTGATTCTAAAAACCAATATTGCCCTGGAGAAACTCAAAAGAACATGGTATTATAAAGGTAACAGGACAGATTATTATCCAGTAGATTAAAAAAAGAAAAGATAAAAAAGATGGTAGCTAAGTGTAATGGTATTTATTAATTAATGACTTTTTGTCATAAAAAAGCAAAATGAGCTTAATGCTTTAGACGCACCACTAGATGTCAGTAAAGCATAATGAGCTTAATGCTTTAGAGGCGCCACTAGGGGTCAGTGTGCTAACTCATGTGCTTCTGGCAGTGACATCACAGGCCAGCCTACTTACTGGATAAAACCAAATAGTAGGAGGAATTGAGCCTCCTTTTTCCTTTGCTTGCATTGATTGAACATGTAGCTGTGTGTATAGCTCCAGCCAAACAGGCTGGAGCCGTGTAAGTAATCTATTATAACAGCTAGCAACTGTTATAGTCTTTTGTAAGTAATGTTGTAGTTTTGTATTGTGTAAATATTGTGGTAAATTGACATTCTGCTAGCATTTGTTTAATTGTTATAATAATTATATTAAATATACATTTAATACTACAATGTTTTGTGTATTTCCTATTATATATTCGACCATAATACCGAACTCTATTAATGTTGTTATTTGTTGCTTAATTATTATATATTAATTATTAAATTAATCATATTTAAGTCACGACTTTAACACTTGGCGACGAAGATATGGGATTATGCTGGAATATTAGGGAAAATACAAAAGTTATGCATTTTGTTTAATACATACAGTCAATTGTCTGTCTGTATAGAAGTGAATTATTGTGTTGCTTGTTACCAATCTTTGGTCATTTGTATGTAAAAAAAATATATATATACTTTACCTTTTGTCTGACCATGTGGATTTTAATCCACCATTGACCACAAGGTGTGAATGAGTTGAGGCCTAGTTTCATTGTTTGCTACCATTTGCATAGGAAAAGACTTTTCACTAAACTAGTTCACCAGGTTTTATTGCTAATTTGACCCTGTTTGTGTACTAATTTACATTTGTTTGGCATTCATGGATTTGTCTAGTTGAAAAGAGATTTGGACAAAATTTATTAAATTAGTAGTTAAGAAAAAGATACGTTTAGTAAAGCAGATTCAGTGAATAATAGATTTATGTGTGCGTATACACAGAATATTAGTATAAATATATATATGATTTTGACTCATGAAGGAGAGACCACTTTTTTAACAGCTGTGTGACCATGCTTTTCAGCTACAGCTGGGGGAGAATTTGTCCTTGTTGGGGGTGGGTAGTCTTGCCTGTATGAGAAAAAATAAACTGCATTGTTTTGTAAATGTAATTGCCTAAACTAATCAATTTGTGGAGTGTTTTTCAGCTTTATTATCCAGGACTAAGGAATTACTGGACATATGCAGGAACTGGTAACAAATGAACTGAATAAATGGTAAAATAATTCCTTTGTCCTATTTAGTCTGAATATTTTAACAAGTTAGCATTTTTAACAAAGTAAGTGTATAGGCTCAGATTAAGATTTATATTATTTTAGAAGCCATCTATAACTGATTTTAATATTTCCATGCTTTGAATTAGGGTGTATCTGCCTAGCGGGTGAACCTCCATAACGTGGGCTGTGATTTTAGTTACAGTGGCGGGTGGGGATCCTGAGCTAGGGGGTATTTAAACGTGTCCGGATAAGGGGGAGCATACCCAATAGTTGTTGTGCAGTTCTATCCTGTATTATTATTATTTGAAACCCTGTATTACTTATAAGTAGCGTTTTGTAACTTATTTGTAATTGTTTATATATATTGCTCTGGGAAAGGGATAGGCAAAATCTCTGAGAGACCAGGAAATATATTTTAAAAAGGGCGTATTACACTAGTGGTAGGGCGGCCTATCATGACCATAGAGACCCTTGGTGACTAGTTTTTGTTGTATATTGCCCTGGGAAGGGGATACGCTATTTAATAGAAATTCCTGAGAGACCAGGAAATATACAATAAGTGATACGTGAGTGTACTGGTTAAATTGCAGACATATTGGCCCAGAACCTTTAATCGAGCCGGAAAAGAGGCTGCTGTATGTTTGCTCCTCTATAATTTTGCGGGGGCGGTCACCCTCATGCGGAAAGCCACTGCCATCACAGGGTGGTTAGTTGTGCAGGCCCTTAGCCGCGAGGTGCAAGCATGTCCGTGGAAAGGCTAGAAATTAATAGGGAGTCACTCATAGCTGTCAGAAGTGTTGAACTTTGAGACATATTGACCTATATCCTTTCAGAGGCGGAAGAGGTGTTGTGGTTCACTCCTCTATAATTTAACCAAAGGGTGGAAAGTTATTAAACATGTTTAAGTTGGCTAGAAATTTGTTACTTATAAGTCCATTTGAAATCCTGTATTGCTTAAAAGTTTGTGTCAGTTTTATATTGCCCTGGGAAGGGGATTAGCTATTGTATATCCCTGAGAGACCAGGAAATATAAAATAAGTAATACGTGGGTGTATTGTGTATCTGCCTAGCAGGTGAACTGCCATAACGTGGGCTGTAAACTTAGTTACAGTAGCGGGTGGGGAACTTAGGCTAGGGGGTACTGAGCATATCTGCCTAGCAGGTGAACTGCCATAACGTGGGCTGTAAACTTAGTTACAGT